TTTGAATCCTTAGTCCAGTGATCCGTGAAGGTGAGACCGATAGTTGGTTTGACTGGGTCCGTCCTCCTTGGTGGTGAGAAAATTTTCGCACCCACCATCTGCAGGTAATAGGCTTACGCCTGGGTACCGCACGAGTTGGCTATAGGCCCTCTAGAACTCGAATCGATACACTATTCGTGAGGACTTCGCGTCAGGTGCCGGACGCTAAACTTCGATACGTTGTATTCTGGAAATTGAAAGAGATGTTTCGAAGTCGACATTTTTTATCTAATGCCGAAATTGAAGTGGTTCTACGCGGTTGGATAAAGGCAAACGAGAAATTTTGTAGGTTTGTAGGTCCTGTTTCGCAGTATTTGCAAAGAAAATAATAGATTAGAATATTTTAGAAGTTTTGTTTTTAATAGCACGCAAAATTTTATTATTCACATGCCCGGAGACTTACCTTTTATCCAACTTATTTAAATACTCTCCAGCTATTCTTCATTTCATTTTCTCAAACTCAATCAGTAGACTGGCAAAATTACCAAAATTACAAAGTTCTACTTTTCTCACTGTATTCTGAAAAATGTAAATGTGCATAAAAGTTGGCAATCTATCGATCGGTAATATATTTCACATCTATTCTTCAAATCGAATTTGTTCCACGCACGTCTCTTCTTCGATATTCACACAGAACTCGCAGACGTCGACGATTACCAAACATTCTCCGCGAAGTTCTCCATATGAACAACCTCTCAGAGACCGCCTCGCTTTATACGTACACGTTTCCCTCGGAATTAGCCTCACGTGGTGCGTGCTCAAACGCTGAAAAAATGGCAGGGACGCGTTTGCTTGTGGCGGTGGTGGCTGATATAAACTGAAACCTGAAGCGATTGGAATGATACTCCAGGCAGAAAATTATGAGGAACATGCACAGACGGGCGACAAGGTAATCCGTTTGGATGAAATTGAGGGTTCCTAGGAACGGGATCCCCACGAGGACGATTTCAAACGCGTATAATCCGAACGAAGTTACCGCGTGTCGACGAAAGTGGTGCACAAGTTTTAAAAGCGTTCGCGTACCGTCAAGCAAACGCGTCCACAGGCGGGCTAATTAAACATAGCGTAGCCTTTTGCCAGGAGACGTATATACCGGAATGCGACGAATTTGTTCGCGTTTTTGTCCCCGGAAATGTGATCAGTCCGAGGAAAAATTCGATATTAAACCGCGACTTGGAGGATCGAGGACTCGTTACGCAGTTGCTGTGACGATACTGAGTTCGGACTAACTAGAAATGTGTGCAGAATGTATGTTCCATAAAACGTAGATTTTCATGAAATAATATTATTTTCGATTTTATCAACTGTTTCTGGAAATATGTTGATAATGTTGAAGGAAGGTTTTGAGGGAAACGGTTGACGAATGGATACTTCTCACTCTTCTTATTCGGTTATTTATAAATTTTTATAAACTTTCAGATTGTCCGAGTATCAGCAGCGTTCCATCGCAAAGTACAATATTTTTTCTACATTTAAAACGGTTGAAAAATTGTCGACGTTTATTCGAAGCGATTCAGTTTGTTTCAATCTCATCGTTCAATGCGAGATGTATTTTCCTTTCCCTCTTTCCTTTTTTATCTCGTGCTAGTACACTCAAATCGAACGCTTAAGGGTTTTTATCGTTCCCGTAATGAAATCGGTATGTGGGCGCACAGAGCTCTTAAAACTAATATCGTGCAGCTCGATTTCGAGTGCACTTCGCTAGATGAAAATGTTTGTTAATCCGGCGACTTCATAAGTATCACGGTGTTCCAGAGGATGCTCTACGCGTACGGATGTTACGTCCACGAAAGGAAGAACCGTGAAATAGACGATTACGCTTCGAGCAAGTTACAATTTTCCAAATATCAGTTGTAATTTTTTCTTTTCTCGTTCATTGAAATTTAACGTTGCAGGCGAATAACATTTTTCGAAGTTCATTTATTTGGACACTGAAACGAGTATATTTCAAATACACGTGTATTGCATTTCTAAGCAACTGTGTCAGGTTTAGCTTGATTGAGATAATTCTCGGTGTCTTTACAAGCTCGCGCGTTTTTCACGAGGCCGCGGTTATACCACACTTCTCTCTCGCGTACCCACGCTTCGCACAACGAACGACACGCTCGTCTTTTGGCTTGACCGTACGGCGTTGTGCCGATCTCGCCGTTTCCGTCTTACAAGCTATTCAGCATAATTGCTTTACAACTCCAGTCTTCTATTTTTGAGTAAGACTTTCTTCAGAAAAATATTTTTCGTTAAATTTGCTTTTTAACTCATTTGCATCACGACTGTGCTACTGAGTTCAGACATTAGAGGCGTTCAACTGACATTTAATGTAGTCTAGAGCGTCCGGAGCCCAGAGCTCGCTCTGTTGTTTCAGGCTGAGCCTACTACAACGATGGAGGGTCGCGGTTTGTACCACTGCGAAGAGTCACGCATGTAAGTGCTTGGAGAAACCCCTCCTTCTCACCATTTAAGGATCACTAGGAAGGAAGATGCGTTCAGCTGACAGTTAGTGTCGTATCGAGCTTCTTGGAGCTGAACTCGCTCTGTTGCCTCAGGCTGGGCCTATTACAACGATGGTGGGGTAGCGTTTCAAACCACTGCGAAGAGTCACGCATGTAGGTGTTTGGAAAAACCCCCCCTTCACCACTTGAGGATCACTAGGAGGGAAGACCTGTCCCTTCCGGGAGGTGACTCGCTGCGCCGCTTTGCCCGCGAATCCGGGGCGAGCCCCTGATTAACCGGAAAAACCTTGCCCAGGTGGAGTCACTAGCTTGCGCTCAGCCTTGGATCTTAGCTTAAATCTTAGCCTAAAAAAAAAAAACAGAGGAGCAGTGTTGCGTTGGGAAATTTGGGGTTGTCAGTGAGGTCATGCGGGATGCATGCATATTATTGAGGAGATAGAGTAGGAGAGAGAGAGAGAGAGAGAGTTTTTCTGGTTTTTGCTCCGGAGCAGGCGATTTTTCGCGATGTTACGTGTGCTTGCGCCTTTTTGTTTTCGTCTGATGGTGTATTGGTGCATGGTGTTGCGTTCAGCTGACAGTTGGCCCGTATCACCGCGTGTGGGCGATACAAAATGTTTAAGGCGGAATATTCCGCGTCCGGTGATAAATGAAAGTCGCGGCTCGAGAATAGTCCGCGCTTGGTGATAGGTGACGATCGTCATGCTTTTTTATCTCGTGCTAGTACACTCAAATCGAACGCTTAAGGGTTTTTATCGTTCCCGTAATGAAATCGGTATGTGGGCGCACAGAGCTCTTAAAACTAATATCGTGCAGCTCGATTTCGAGTGCACTTCGCTAGATGAAAATGTTTGTTAATCCGGCGACTTCATAAGTATCACGGTGTTCCAGAGGATGCTCTACGCGTACGGATGTTACGTCCACGAAAGGAAGAACCGTGAAATAGACGATTACGCTTCGAGCAAGTTACAATTTTCCAAATATCAGTTGTAATTTTTTCTTTTCTCGTTCATTGAAATTTAACGTTGCAGGCGAATAACATTTTTCGAAGTTCATTTATTTGGACACTGAAACGAGTATATTTCAAATACACGTGTATTGCATTTCTAAGCAACTGTGTCAGGTTTAGCTTGATTGAGATAATTCTCGGTGTCTTTACAAGCTCGCGCGTTTTTCACGAGGCCGCGGTTATACCACACTTCTCTCTCGCGTACCCACGCTTCGCACAACGAACGACACGCTCGTCTTTTGGCTTGACCGTACGGCGTTGTGCCGATCTCGCCGTTTCCGTCTTACAAGCTATTCAGCATAATTGCTTTACAACTCCAGTCTTCTATTTTTGAGTAAGACTTTCTTCAGAAAAATATTTTTCGTTAAATTTGCTTTTTAACTCATTTGCATCACGACTGTGCTACTGAGTTCAGACATTAGAGGCGTTCAACTGACATTTAATGTAGTCTAGAGCGTCCGGAGCCCAGAGCTCGCTCTGTTGTTTCAGGCTGAGCCTACTACAACGATGGAGGGTCGCGGTTTGTACCACTGCGAAGAGTCACGCATGTAAGTGCTTGGAGAAACCCCTCCTTCTCACCATTTAAGGATCACTAGGAAGGAAGATGCGTTCAGCTGACAGTTAGTGTCGTATCGAGCTTCTTGGAGCTGAACTCGCTCTGTTGCCTCAGGCTGGGCCTATTACAACGATGGTGGGGTAGCGTTTCAAACCACTGCGAAGAGTCACGCATGTAGGTGTTTGGAAAAACCCCCCCTTCACCACTTGAGGATCACTAGGAGGGAAGACCTGTCCCTTCCGGGAGGTGACTCGCTGCGCCGCTTTGCCCGCGAATCCGGGGCGAGCCCCTGATTAACCGGAAAAACCTTGCCCAGGTGGAGTCACTAGCTTGCGCTCAGCCTTGGATCTTAGCTTAAATCTTAGCCTAAAAAAAAAAAACAGAGGAGCAGTGTTGCGTTGGGAAATTTGGGGTTGTCAGTGAGGTCATGCGGGATGCATGCATATTATTGAGGAGATAGAGTAGGAGAGAGAGAGAGAGAGAGTTTTTCTGGTTTTTGCTCCGGAGCAGGCGATTTTTCGCGATGTTACGTGTGCTTGCGCCTTTTTGTTTTCGTCTGATGGTGTATTGGTGCATGGTGTTGCGTTCAGCTGACAGTTGGCCCGTATCACCGCGTGTGGGCGATACAAAATGTTTAAGGCGGAATATTCCGCGTCCGGTGATAAATGAAAGTCGCGGCTCGAGAATAGTCCGCGCTTGGTGATAGGTGACGATCGTCATGTGCGGAATATTCCGCTTACGGATGCAAATGTCTTGTAATTTTTTGCTAATTTTGTAATATCGCTAATACTCGTTGCGCATATATCGCGCGATAAAAATGTAACAACGATAGTAATTTAATAAATTTCGACGAGGCCCCTTTGAACTAACCGGATAAGAGTCAATGTTAATTCACGTTGCAAAAGCTAAAATTGCGATCAATTTCGAATGAATTTTTTCTTTGTTTCAGCATAATGAACAATAACAGCGTGGAGCAGCCGGATCCAGACAACATAAAAATGTTTGTGGGTCAGGTGCCGCATGACATGGACGAGAACGATCTAAGGAAGTTGTTCGAGGAATTCGGAAGGGTGCACCAAATAAACATCTTGCGGGACAAGATCACCGGGAGCCATAGGGGTAAGTGTTACTATATGTTCGTGAATCATTTGTAATTATAATTGTTGAAAAACTGTCACGGAACTGTCGATAAATCGACGTATCAAAAGATGGTGTCTTCAATTTTTGGGATAAAGCTTTCAACTTGCTGATCTGTGAAAGTACTTTTTATTTTTCGAATTATAAATTAAGCGGCCAATTTTCTATTATACCATTTTTGGCAATTTTATCAATATAACATTTTAAAAGCAATTTATCTCGATGTTAATTATTATACTTTCAATTTTTAATATCGAACGTATCACTGTAAGTGTTACAGTAGTTTCTGTAAATTCAAAATCTAACGCATTTGTCACCTATAATGTGCAAACGAAGGTGAAAATTTTACCTAAAACGAATGCACTTTGTGAATATTTTTTAGAAAGTTTATTCATCATTCGGTGACATTTTATTAGATTTAACTGCAACCAAAAAGGTTTGTATAGTATAACTTGTATTATGTTTAATTTCTCAAGAATTTTACTTAAAATTGTAGGTGTATAGAAAAAAAAAAGCAAAAATGTATGCAATATGTTAAGGAGAAGCCATTTTTCAAGTTTCGATCGAATCGCGAGCACGTTGATCGCGAGCCGTGTGTTAATTCGATTATTCGATTTTTTGTCGAACTGATAATTCTGTGTACCGTAATATTCGATAACGAACCGAATTTTCATTAGTCCGCCGCGTACCAAGAGGTACTTTAATCTTGTCGCGGCTTTATTAACTACACCGCTCTCGATAATGGAGCGAAATTGAATTGTCTCGTGGCGTTTATTTTTCATTGCGCCACCGGCACAGCGTTCTTCGCAGAAAAATTTACCGATGAACGCTTAATCGCTCTGACACGTTTCTGTCGCCTAAAATCTTCATTTTCTCCAGATCTTTCATGAAAAATCGAAAAAATGCCAACTTTTCTGTTATTCTAACTGTGATGTCCGGTTTTGCCTGAATTTGGGTAATCGGAGCAATTAAAGATCGCCGTTGCGTAGAAAAGAAACTTTATCAGAACTGGTCGAATCGATGATGGAAAAATAGGGCTGTTTAAGGGATTTGAGGAAGATGAAGTTTGGTGTAGGAGAGTTGAGGAGAGAGCTGAAAGGTGAAGAGTCCAGTGTGAGTAATGGTGAAAGTTGGTGACTATTATTCGTGGGTACAGATAAGACTAAAATTAAGACCAAGACTGTTCCGTCGCGCAGGTACGGAACGCGTGGAGTCTTCGTTGACCGGGTTTATGGCACGCTCGCATGAGAAGGTTATTTTTCAGAACAAAGACGCTTCGTAGCTCCGCGAAAAAATAAGTCATTTCTTACAGAACAATGCCTTAAGAATTTCGGCTTTTCCGCGTCCTCGATAACCGAAGACGTGTCATAAACCAGGTATTCCTCAAGGGTCAATCCACACGCGCGTATAACGGCACTCTCGGCCGAGGGTTGACCTGGCGGGAATTTCCGACGCGTCACCGAAGGACAGCGAAGATTCCAGGCACCCGCAGGTAGGGCCCCACTCCTTCCAAGGAAAAGCGCGCTAAGGGCGCAATGGTTGATTGGTAATTTGTGCGTACGTGAAAAACCAATCAGCGTGCCTTCTTGCACTTGGCGGAGGAGTCACGGCGGACTCGAGAAAAATTCGGTGATCGGAACACATTCGCAAAGATTCTCTCGTGCGAACAACACACAGTCTCCAACCGTTCGAGGAGACACCCGCAGTTTTCGAGTCGCGATCGATCACTCGAGTCTTGAAACAAGTGGTGACGCAGGTTTGCTAACGTATCGAGCAAACAAAATTTGAACTAGTTACCTAAAATTAATTTGGCGGGCAACAGTCGCGAACACGAGCTTTTTGAACATCGCAAAAGAGCGCGACGCGACAAAGACTAAGACAAATAAAGAAAATATACGTATCGAGCAAACAAAATTTGAACTAGTTACCTAAAATTAATTTGGCGGGCAACAGTCGCGAACGCGAGCTTTTTGAACATCGCAAAAGAGCGCGACGCGACAAAGACTAAGACAAATAAAGAAAATATTTGAGGGTATAACAGAATGTGTAGCAAAGACTTTTCAGCAAAGATCTCCTAAATTATCCTACACGTCAGAAGGTTGCACGTTTAAAACCCAAGTAGGTAACGAAAGGCTCGAAGAACGAGCTCGCAGAATGAAACAGGAAATAAGGATTTTCTCGTTGGTGCGAGAAAGACGGGATGCCAATAGTGCCCCGGCAGTGTTGCGGCCGTATTGGAGCACAATCGACGAAGTTGGCAATGAAACGACACGCTCGTCTGTATGACAAGCGCGAATGGATGTAGAAGAGGGGGTGGCAAAAGGGGGCGGTAAAATGGCCGGCATTTACGTTGGCAGGAAGAACCATAAAACGTAGCGACACGATCGTAGACCGAGATTAAATCGGGCTCTCTCTGTTTCAGCCACGCCGCTTGGCATAATTCCAGAATAAAATAATTCTAGCGTTTGCGAGGCGCAGGGAGATTGAACCATTTCAGGAACGTCGTCGCCCGATGATGAATCGTGACGTCCTTATTTCATTTGCACGCGTATGTATTCTCCTTCCCTCTCTCCCTTCTTTCGCCGGATGAAAATTAGCCGAGCATAGGAGAACCTCGTTCTGACTTTATGGCCGCGAATTTATTCATTCTTTCGCGTTCAATCGTGACAAATTTGAATTTTCCCGGGGAACGAAATGTGGTTGTTATATATGGTTAATTTGGAGAGTTGGAAAGGTACCGGGGAATTGTTTTATTTTGCCCTCGGTTTTGTGTTGGATTTTTAGTGTTACCGTATTCGCGACACATTTCTAGATTATTGCTGTAATCAAAGAGTCGCCGTGTGTATCTCGATACTATTAAGTACCTAATTCCGTCAATTTTCACTAATTCTCCGGTCATAAAAGTCTCTTGGGGTAGAAGAAAAGAGACCTCGCGTGGAAAGCGTGGAATAGATAGCAGAGCTAAAATAGGGTAGTTTACAATTAACTTAGACGTTTAGTTTCTATTTTATTTCGTCAGTGAACTATTACCGTTGTTATTTTAAATACACTTTTCCAAACCTCACACACGTTCCGTCAATTTTCACTTACAAGGGAACTGCGGATATACAGGGAAATAGGGTAACTTCATTCAAAGGCTGTTTTCACCCCGAAGAACCGAAATTGGGCCAAAAAAGAAAATTGCCCGATACTTCTCTCGAGGTCCTCTACAAACCCACAAAGTTTCAAAAGAATCGGAATTTTCGGGTTACCGAAGTTCCCTTGTAAGTCTCTGGTCATAAAATCACTAATGCAATTCCGCTGTATCGCCAAAAATTTTGCCTGTATTATTGTCAGTAACTCCTAATCACTGACGCGTCGGTAACGTCGCACGAGTGACGAAGGCCGGCCAGATCGTCGATATTTCCGATATCACCGAAAAACGGCGGGATTAATGCGGTGAGAAGGGAGGAGAGGACGGTCCAAGGGAACTGACAGAAACTCGTATACGTTGCACACGCGAGGATCGATGCCCAGACGGAACGGTGATGGTCGCTAGGACTTCTCGAGCTATTGATCGAAGAGGAAATCTCTGTGTCCCTTGGCCTCTTACGTCGCTACTTCGAAACGTATCTCTACGTCGTATGTACCTGTGTGTCCATATCTAGGAAGCCGGCTGTCATGGATCGCGCGTCCGTGGAATTCGAAATTTGCCTTTCATAACCGCGAATATCCGATCCACTTCCCTTGGCGTACCTTGGTCCACGTTGGACTCGACCTACTGTTACGACGGATGACGTTCCGTTTCAAATCTTACGCTCGCGCTGTCTTGCATAACTTTGGAGGTATAAAAAGGCGATTCGTGGTGATTGGAGTCGCGAATGAAATTTTTCGAACTCCGTAGAGTCGTTTAATTTGGTGAGAAAGTGTCTTCGTGAAAAATTAACTTAGCGGTGTGAAAGTAGAGGATTTGCTCTTTAAAATGGCTCCAGGTGGATTATTGTACGATTTTTTTACATCAAGTTACAACAGTTCATAGACAACTTTTCAGCGAAAATTTCGTGGTCCTTTAATTTTGTCCCGATGAGTGCGTACGAATTCTTGCTTATTAGGTGTAGAAAGGAAACACAGTGTCTATTCTGAAGCTGCAAGGAAAATGGCAGTAGGTGATTAAAAGTAATGGAAATTATTTCGATGATTGATCTCTTTGCGTTCTTTCTAAATGAAACTTCGATTGTACCTAAACGTCGAGAAGATATTTGAGCTGCTGTAAAACAAGAATTTATTTTGCGGCTTTTAGTTGGCGAATCCATTTTCGAATTAATTTTCATATTTTAAGATGGAACTTCTCTATTCCGCGAAGAATAGAGAGGCCCTCGGAGTGATGCATAATGGCTGAACACAGGAAGCACTATTCCATCATGCTAACTATACATATGCATATATGTATGTGTAGTGAGGAGCAATACGCCGAAATTCTGAGAACTTTCGGAACGATTAATTTGTACAAATTGTATATAGTTAAACGTCACGCGCAGCTGCAAAATTGACGATAGCCGCGAATAACGATCGAATGAAATTCGTTTGCAATTGTGAAAATTTAACTTGATTACCTTGACGTAATGGTAAATTAATGTCTCGTTAGCGGGCCCATTTTAGCCGTTCGCGTTTTTCACCGTGCCTGCTAGATGATTCTTAATTTCGTGTCGAAGATATGTCTGAATCGTGGAAAGGTGCAAATATACCACTCGAACGTTTTTCTTTTGCACACTTACGAGGAATTGATGAATATTCCGAAATTTTAAAGGGTCGAAGAAATTTTTTATTTATGTTTCTTTCAAATTTATGACGAATTAAAGAATATTACGAAATTAAAGGCTAAAACAAATTTTTTATTTATATCTTTCTTTAGCAAATTTATGGCAAATTATTTTTCTTTTGTAAACTTATGACAAATTAAAGAATATTACAAAATTAAGAGACCAAACACCGAAACTTAGGGA